CTATTTTCAAGCTGCGTACAAGCTGCTTAAACACCAGCCAGTTTTATTTAGAATCCCAATACAATGCATTTGGCTTTTCAGTTAGGTGTGTCCTTTCTCAATGATCCAAGTACACAAGGTTGCCACAAAGAAGAGGCAGTCAAGCTATTCTCCAAAGCACCTGAGGGCAGGACAAGAAGCAATGGGTGGAAACTAATCAAGGAGAAAAACAACCTAGAACCAAGAAGAAATTTCCTGACAGTTAGAATAATTAGTCAGTGGAACAACTTGCCACCAGAAGTTGTGAATGCTCCATCATTGGAAGTTTTTAAGAAGATATTAGACAACCATTTGTCTGAAATGGTATAGGGTTTCCTGCCTGAGCAAGGGTTGGACTAGAAAACCTCCAAGTTCCCTTTCAACTCTGTTATTCTATTTCTATTCTATTTCTACAGTATTCAGACACTACTTTCTAAGGGAATATTCACATATAGTACTCAAGATGAAAGCTGAGAAACAATGTAACAGTTGTTGCTGTTACTTTGCAAGAGCTTGGGGAATTGAAGTTGTATTTTTCATAATTCCAGGATGACAGTGTTCTATTTTGCTTGTGTCTTATGATTTTCTTACTAGAAGGCTTTATATGCAGGACAAAATACTTAAATCTGAGAATTGTTTTTTTTTTAATTATCAGGTATTTTAAGAAGGGTACCTGAGGTATCCTAAAGAGCTCTGATAATAGTTTGTAGACTTTGCAGAGAGTTAAAACTTTATACACACACACACACACACATACTTGTAACAATTACTGTATGAATTAAACTGAAGCAGGAACAGCAGGGGTTGGACTAGATGACCTCCAAGATACCTTCCAACTCTGTTGCTGTCACATTTTCCTCATCTTTCTATGTGAAGGAACCTTACACACATACCCCTACTGCTATAAATAGTTACATTGATCTAATTAGCACTTTTCAATATTTCAAAGACAGACAACTAGAGTAGGTTTTCTTCTAAGTAAGCATCTGTGGGATGCAAATTAGTTTGTATCTATCTATCTATCTATCTATCTATCTATCTATCTATCTATCTATCTATCTTAATTTGATTTATATGCCGCCCTTCTCCAGAGACTCAGGGCAGTTTACAATGCGTTAAGCAATAGCCTTCATACTTTTGTATATTTATACAAAGTAAGTTTATTGCCCCCACAATCTGGGTCCTCATTTTATCTACCTTAGAAAGGATGGAAGGCTGAGTCAGCCTTGAGCCTGGTGAGATTTGAACTTGCAGTAATTGCAGGCAGCTGATGTTAATAACAGTGCTTTAGTCTGCTGCGCCACCAGGGCTCCTTCTATATAATTTTGGGTTAAATGATTTAGGAATAAGTTCTGTGGTTTCCATGTTAAACTACTAATTGTTACTGTATGCAGTTATCAGTACAGTTGGAGTTGGGTTTCACAACCTTTTTTTTGCCATTTGTTAAGCAACTCATTGCAATTGTTAAATGAATCATGTGGTCATTATGAGCATCCGGCTTCTTCAACTGACTTTGCTTCCCAGATGACAGCTGAGAAGGTCATAAATGGTGATCAAATAATCCTGGGATACTGCAATCATTTTAAATACATGTTGGTTGCCAAGCACCTGAATTTGGATCATGTGTCCAGGGAAATGCGGCAATGGTTGTAATGTGAAAACCAGTTGTAAGTAACCTTTTTCAGTGCCATTGCAGCTTTAAATGAATAGTTGTAAATTGAGAATTACCTATATATTCCTAGAGCCTATATTTTATTTGAAATTCAAATTATCTGAATTTGCATGTGACCCCTATTTTTTTTTTATTATTATTGTTGTTATGAATTCATAGCATTCTGCATTACAATACTGCCAGGCCCTCCTGGCATGGTTGCATATCTGGTGCTCAACCTTAAATGTGGTGCTCCAGATACCATATGTTGGCTTTCAAGTTAACATAGGGTACTCTTCCTGCAGCCATGCTTTGTCAAAGCTGGGCCCACCCAATATTAACATCTTGGAGTGACTGGAAAGTTTTATACCCTGGCAAGAAGGGTTCTACAGGGAGATGGCTATGTGTGGAAGAATGGGACATGATCACAGTGTTCGCTTACAGTCCAGCCAATTTTGTATGTAATGGTGGCCATGACTGACGCTTCTGAGGCAGCTGGCCAGATACTCTAGGTATAGCACTACAAGCTTGCTCCTTGGTGCCAACACTTTTATGCACATGAAACTATGCATGTCTTCATTTCACACTTGCACAGAGAAAAAAAACCCTGCTTCCTGCCTCTTATAAGAAGATGAGGCTTTCAAAAAGAGATTGGATGGCCATTTGTGTCTGAAATGGAATCTCCTGCTCAAGCAGGGAATTGGACTAGATGACTTCCAAGCAGGGGTGAAATCCAGCAGGTTCTGACAGGTTCTGGAGAACCGGTAGTGGAAATTTTGAGTAGTTTGGAGAACCGGGAAATACCACCTCTGGCTGGCCCCAGAGTGAGGTGGGAATGGGGATTTTGCAGTATCCTTCCCCTGCCACGCCCACCAAGCCACGCCCACAGAACCGGTAGTAAAAAAATGTGGATTTCACCACTGCCTCCAAGGTACCTTCCAACTCTGTTGTTCTATGTCTATGATACGATACTAAGCTAGTAAGCCTCTATGCTGTTTTTTTTCATCTTGTCTGCGAAGGTTAAGTTTAAGGCGTATCAGCAAGAAATGGAGTACTGTTACTTACAAGAAGGCTGCTGACATTTAGAGAATCTTTAGCTTCTCCAAAAGTTGGATCTGCTGGAAAGAAGCATATGTTAGATAGAAGGATATATACATTGCATCAAAAGATGACATATCTTTGGTGGGTTTTATATGCAATATATTCTTCCATATGTCCAGCAGCTCCCTGCCTGTGCACAGTGCTAGGCGTCAGAGGATACTGTATTGTTGTGCTGCCTGCCCTACTGTCAAGAGGCTGACTGCATTTCTCTGCAAGACAGTCAACATGGGTTCCCTTGGTGAGGAAAGCATGGATGTGCTGTGGGGAAGTTATCATAAGAAAGAAGTTGAACCAGCGCTAGCATGAAACATAAGAGGTACAATGAGCAGATGAGGTCTCACTGAGGTGCAGTTTGCACATATGAAAATGGTTTTTGTTTGGTGCAGCTCTTTTGCTTGGACTGGTGGGTTCCAGAAGTGGATGAAGAACATTGAGGAATGCCTGTGGGTAGAATGCAAGCATTGCTTAAATGCTGGCACAAGCACTGGGAATGTGAGTACGTTGGCAGGAAACATATTAGGCCACCATACCAGGGGTGAAATCCAGAATTTTCCCCTACTGGTTCTGTCGGCGTGGCTTGGTGGGCGTGGCAGAGGAAGGATATTGCAAAATCCCCATTCCCACTCCACTCCAGGGGAAGGATACCATTCCCTCCCCTCCTGGGGGAAGGATATTGCAGAATCTCCATTCCCACCCCACTCTGGGGCCAGCCAGAGGTAGTATTTGCCACTTCTCCGAACTACTCAAAATTTCCGCTACCGGTTCTCCAGAACCTATTAGAACCTGCTGGATTTCACCCTTGCAGCATACCATGGAGGCAGTGTGGATGGTAGTTTAAGTGATCCTCTTTTCCTTCTCTGCAGCTTAAGGAGGACTTTCTATGAGTAGGCATGTATCTGGTACTGTGGAATGAATGAATGAATGAATGAATGTTAGCAGCTATGCTACAGCTAAAAATCACAGGCACAGTCTGGAGCACTAATTTATAATGAAATCCACTTGTATGTAATAAGTTTTGTGAGAAATTCCCTGTGCCAATGATAGTGTTTAAAAAAATAGATTCTGTATTTGAGTAATCTCTCAAATACCTGGTATTCAGGTAGCCCTTGACTTACAGCAGTTCATTTAGTGACCATTCAAAGCTACAACGGCATGGAAAATAGTGACTTACAACTGTTTTTCCCACTTACAACCAGTGCAGCATGGTCATGTGATCAAAAATTCAAGAGGCTTGGCAACTGACTCATATTGATGACATTTGCAGTGTCCCAGGGTCACGCGATCCCGTTGCAACCTTCTGACAAGCAAAGTCAATGGGGTAGCCAGATTCACTTAACAACCGGGTTACTACGTTAACCACTGCAGTGATTCACTTTAACAACGGTGGCAAGAAAGCTCGTATAATGGGGGCAACGTTCACTTTTTTAAAAAAAATTTGATTTATATGCTGCCCTTCTCCGAAGACTCAGGGCAGCTTACAATGCGTTAAGCAATAGCTTTCATACTTTTGTATATTTATACAAAGTCAGCTTATTTGCTCTCACAATTTGGGTCCTCATTTTACCTACCTTAGAAAGGATGGAAGGCTGAGTCAACCTTGAGCCTGGTGAGATTTGAACTTGCAGTAATTGTAGGCAGCTGATGTTAATAACAGTGCTTTAGTCTGCTGCGCCACCAGGGCTCCTTAACATCCGTCTGGCTTAAGAACGTAAATGTTGGGCTCAATTGTGATCGTAAGTCGAGGACTACCTGTACTCCACAAAGTACAGGCCATACAGCCAATACTGTGTAGCAGCTTTCAATGTAGGCTTACAAGGTCACGGGCAGGTGAAGGAGCTCTAAATACGCCTCTTGTAAACCATGCTTGGGTGTTTCCCCCCCCCCCCCCAATCTGTAGTATGTCGTACACCCAGTTAAAGGCGGGAGGGCAGCGGCCACACGCCTTCCGCATGTATGAAATCGGGACTCGGAGAAAGGAGCTGCCCGGGGGTCCAGCGGCGCGCGTCAAAATTCCGATCCAACGAGGCTATTCCTCGGGGGAAATCAGCGGTATCTCTTTAAGGCAAGTTAGACGGGCGACGCCCATTTCCACTCGCCCGCCCTGCAAGACTTCTTTTTAAACGTGCCTTTTTTTTCCTCCATGCGTAGCGCCTCGAGTGAACTCCGCCGCTCCGGCTTAAAAAGCGAGGAAAGCCCAAGTCAGAGGAAAACAGCCTCCCCACGGCGAACCGCTGCTGGGTCGCCGTTCACCCTTGCGCCCTCATCGCCCAACCAGACAAACCGGCGGGGGGGAACCGAGAAGCCGGCAGCAGCAGCAGCAGCAGCACCCGTCCCGTCTCCCCGAGCTCAGTGGGAGCCGAAACGCGCAAATCGGCTGCGTGTTTCTCCCCCGCCCCACTCCGGTGTCGCTCCGACCGTGCGCGTGTCCCCGTCCCCGCCTCGACCGTCAGGGAGCCGGAGACGGCGAAGAACCCGCGAGGTGTTTTCGGGAGGTGACTGATTCGAGCAGGAGGTGTTGGAGAGGATCGGGGCAGGATTTGCGCGCCTCCCTCTTTTCCCGCCCTTGGAACCGAGAGGGGTGGATTAAAACCATGGCAGCGCCAGGACGGCAGTCACACTGTGGCCGGAGAGTTGCCTCCCTCTTTGCAGTCACCTTGTGGGTCCTTTCCTCGGCTCCACAGGTAAGGGGCGTTGCGTCCCCGCACTTCTCCCCGTTGGTTATTTAGGGTAGATAAAGTGACAGGTGGACTCACAGGTGTACGTGTGTATGTGTGTTTGTGTAGTGTGTTTATTTGAGACCAGCGTGAGTGGATTCGAGGTGTCCATCTGAGATAAACACTTGTATGTTTCTTCTCACCTTCGTTTGTTTGGTGAACTGCTAACTGTTGGTCCTTGGATGCCCTCCACATCATTAGCTTCTGGCAAGTGTAATCCGGGAATTTCCTAACAAACTGAGATTTGAGCACCCTGGGAACTTCCTTTAACAAACTGAGATTTGAGCTCCCTGGGAACTTCCTTTAACAAACTGAGATTTGAGCTCACTGGGATTTTCCTCTAATAAACTGAGATTTGAACTCACTTGAAATTTCCTAAGAAACTGAGATTTTGAGAATTTGGGAATTCCTCTAACAAACTGGGAATTTCCTCTAACAAACTGAGATTTGAGCTCACTGCTTATTTCTTCCCGCCTCCCCCCTTCCAAAATGGCAGATTCCATGGCTGGGGTTGACAGGTGTCACTTGCTCTAAGAAAAGGTGTTTAAGCTATTTTAAATACTTGACCTTTGATCTGTTACATGGCAACTGCAGAGAACTTTGAACTTTCAGGACATGACATATGAACATCAAAAATGTCTTTGGCTTGCAGAGTTGGGCATCTTTTCTGCTTCTACTACAGATAACCTCAGGAGAGGTTAATTTCTGCCATTGCACTCCTCCCTTCAGAAACGGCAAAGGGGGGGAAATCTGTCCAGTTCCAGAAATTTGATTTCTCCTTCATTGCATGTAAGTGGCAGGACGAGAAAAGAAAACCTAAAAATGGCTTTGGGTGATGAGTTTTAGTTTTAATCCATGAATATGGGATAGGTTCTCATCGGTAAACTGTTTTCTGAAACTTGTGAGGAGATTTGTCAGTTTGTGGTAAACTGTCAACTTAAGGGAGGAGGGAAGGGAGAACATGAACCTGGGAGCTCGCCTCAGAAGGAGAAAAAGGTAGAAAAAGGTAGAAATCCCTTAACACGGTTTTTGAAGGACATATTTCAGAGTTGAAATTTTAACTTGAGTTGGAATGCATGTTGCCACATTGGCTGGTTTCCCCCGAAAATGATGACATCTTTGAGATACTCTTTTGTCTAAACCTGCTCTTTTCTTCCCTAGTGATGTAAATAATGAAGGCTTTTTTCAAATGCTGAAAGAACCAATAGATATTGTGTGGATTGTGCCAAGATACATCCTCTTAACTTTTTACTTGTACAGGCCATCATGTAAACCAAGATTTTCTTTTTCATGTGCTGAAGAAGCATGAACTTGGCATATACCAGACCCTGTGGTTTCAGAACAAAACCTATTGTGTGAATCCTACTACATTCATTTTAAAATTATTTCATTTTCAGAGACCATGTCCTCCCCATAGGTGTACACAATTTGCTGAGTGTCTCATATTAATCTGTAGGATACCAATTTTTAATTAAATGACATTGATTATTTGCATTACTTAACGAAATGTGTGGTCCCTTTAAAGTCAAATCACTTCTCTAATTTAACATCATCAACCATAGCATCGTGATTGCATTTTGGAACATAAGTTAATAAACTGAAATAGGTCTGCTGCAGAGAACTTTTTTCAGACTTAATAGGAAAGCTGTGTTTTGTGATTGCATAGCACAGTGTATTCTCTTTCTCATCAATATTAGATTTTCAAGGTTTTTACAAGAATGTTCAAACTTGGACTGAAATTTGCGATCCTCTTGTATTGCATTGATCTAGATTTAATCTTGCCACCTGGAGTCTCTATTTGTAAGTGGGGCAGCTATAAAAATTGTATAATAATTTCATTAAAACATTTTAATAGGGCACAATGCATCTGCTGTCTTGGTTTTAAAATTGCAATCCACACAATAATTAAAATGTATTTATGATATCTGTCCTAGCTATCTAGCTATCTAGCTATCATCTACAGTGCATTCAGAAAGTATTCAGACCCCCTTCACTTTTGTCAATTTTGTTATGCTGCAGCCTGATTCTACAGTTGTTGAAATTCTGGTGCCTCCCATTTCTCTTGATCATTGCTCACATATTTCTACACCTTGAATGGAGTCCACATATGGTAAATTAAATTGATTGGACATGATTTGGGAAGAACACACCCCTCTGTAGAAAGCGTCACAGCTGACAATGCATACTGTCGCAGAGCAAAAGCCGCGAGGTCAAAGAAACTGCCTGCAAAGCTCAGAGACAGGATTATTGCAAGGTACAGATCTGGGAAAAGCTACAATAACATTTCTGCTGCACTGAAGGTTCCTAAGAGCACAGTGGCCTACACAATTGTCAAATGGAAGACGTTTGGCGCAACCAGGACTCTTCCAAGAGCTGGTTGCCCAGTCAAATTGAGCAATCGGGGGAGAGGGGCCTTAGTAAGAGAAGTGACCAAGAATCAGATGGTCACTCTGGCTGAACTCCAGAGATGGGGCAGAGTTCCAGAAGGACAACCATCACTGCAGCCCTCCACCAATCTGGGATTTATGGAAGAGTGGCTAGATGGAAGCCTCTCCTCAGTGCAAAACATATGAAAGCCCATTTGGAGTTTGCAAAAAAGCACCTGAAGGACTCAGACTGTGAGGAACAATCTCTTTCTCCCTGCCCGTCCCCCTTTCTCCCCCTCTGCCCCTCTTATCTCTCTCTATATGTATATGTATATGTATATGTATATGTATATGTATATGTATATGTATATGTATATGTATATGTATATAAAGAAGCAAACTTCCTGCGAGTTCCGGAACTTAAAATTTTAAAATAATTAAAATTTTAGAATAGTTTGTAATACATACACACACACACACACACACACACACACACACACACACACACACACAAATCAGTATACAACTGATCAAATTTAACAACTTTAGATGTCCAATAATTTATTAAAAATAATGTAAATCAGTATAATTGTTTCAGTTATAAAGCTGTGCTATCTAAAGGCACTATTAACTCTCCAAGACTACTACAAAGAGAATGGATTGCCTGAAAAGCAAGACAGATAAAGAAGTTTTTACTTAAATACTTTTAGAGCCACTTATGTGATGAAGTTTGGATTACTTCTCTCTAGAGAATTAATGCCAATTACGGAGTAGTACTTTCTCTCCAATGACACAACGTGATAATATACAATAGCTAGGTTTCCTGAGAAACTGTCCTTTACAGTTTTATAAGTCGTAGAGATGTGGATTGAGTACGGAAGCCAAGAAATAGTTTGTCCAGCTCTATTAGGTAGGACCCACGTTTTCTGTTGAAAATCTAGTATTTATTACAGAAGAGATAAAATATGCTGGCTTTCTGTATGCTTGAGTAATTGTGGGTTTTGTTTTGCCTCTCTTGGTTGTTGTTAAAGTTACCCTGATCTGTTGGCTCAAGAATTCGTTTTGTTCCAGAGAAGGCAACAGAATCAGAGGCTTGGAATGCTGCCAGAAGCAAAGAAGAATGCCCAAGCAGCTGCAAAGGGGACATAAAGTAATCATTTAGAATCTTCCTTCATTGATTTCATTAAAGAGGGTTGCTCTCATGGAACTGTGGATTTGTGCAAATACCCTCTGGACTATCTGGCCGGCTAGCTCACAATTGCCCTGGCTAGAAACATCCCCATTCCTCTTGGAGATTACTTTTCCAAAATATCATTTCAGTATGGTTTTAACATTGTTCTGTCAATTGGCTTTAGTTAAGCAGCTAGTCATTTATCCAAGGCTTCTTTTATTGCCCAGGATAAAGGGATGGTCCTGTGTCATCCCAAACACAGCATTAAAGATGCTTTTTTGTGTTCTGAAATCTATAATTGAGCTTAAATTGGCACAATATATCTGTTCTTTTGTCTGCCAATTAGAATATTCATGATTTTTACTTGGTGAGTGAAAAGTGTAGGGTTCTTTTGGACTTTAGTTCATGTCATCACCACACATCTGGATTAATGCAATATGCTCTATATGGGGATATTTGTTTGTATATGTAACGTAACGCCTATCCTATTACCATTGCATTAGATATAAATAAGGTTCCAGATGCAATTCAAAATGCTCTTTTCTACCATTAAGCAAGATGCAGAACCAGCTCTTCATAGAGATGAACTACATAACTCATCCAGTGTGGACCTCCCAACAATATCTTTTAATGGTCCTCCATGTAGGGGAGTTGAAGGGAACTAAGCAATGTTTGTCTGCAACAGTCTCCCATGTTATGAAACAGTTTCCCTCCTCAAGATGTGTTTGGCACCCTTCAATTATTGGCCTTTTGGAAACTGCTAAAGACAGACTTGTTCCACACATAGAACCTTTGGGGAATGAATGGCCACATTTCAGCTGCTCCATGGTTATTTAATTTTTAGTAGCTTCTATGTGTTTACTTTGTTATTGCGCTGTAAACCACCAAGAGTCATTTTTGTTGAAAAAGGAAAGGAGGATATGGAGAAAAAGAAAGAAATTGTACCTTGGAATACTTTCTTAACACTGATCTTGATTCCAAGAGATGAAGTTCAAGGACAGAATCCAATAATTACTTTCTTGGATTGTGTTCTCTCATTTTCCCAGTGTGAACGATCTATACCCAACAACTAATAATAATTTATTAAATTTATGTGCCGCCCAGAGTTGCTGGTAGTTGGGAAGCATATATAATTACATATTGTTATAATTGTTTGCACAGTTAGCCAGATGTTTAGACTTGATTTGGCATTTTTATCCACCAATCAAATCCTTCTCACGGACCTGGGATAAGCAAATGTTGTTATTTGATGGTGTATTGTTGCAGATTGTAAACTGTTTCAAGTAAAGCTACCTTTTGATGTTGATTTTGTCAATGCCAATGATGTTCAAGTCGTATTCCAGTTGCTTTGGGATTGCACCCAAAGTACCTATTTCTATTAGTATTGTCTTTGCTTTCATCACAATCATTCCACTGTTGTTTGATGGTCT